TGTTGTGGCCCACCAGTGGCCAGCAGAGCTGGGGGCAAATTCAGACAGTGAGGAGGTTGGGGAGGAACCTGGGCCAGTCCTGGAGTCTGGGGAAGGCTCTGATGAGGGCTCTGTGTCGGAGGCAGAGAGGGGGCCAGAGCTGTCTGACAGTTATCAGCTCCCTTCAGAGTCAGACATCAGTGAGGCAGATGAACAGCTGGAGCCTGTTCCCAGTGTGCACATGCACAGAGCTGCCAGAAGGCAAGAACAGTTAAGACAAAAAGGGAGACCTGGGAGTAAGGCTTGAAGATGATTGTCCCCACCCATAAGACGTAAAGGAGGAACAAAGGCCTGTGAGCCTTTGCAGGAAGCAACCTGGTTCGATCCGGTCGGTTTAAATTCTGAAGTTCTGCACAAATCCTGATTGGTGACCCACTACACCGGAAACCCTGCTGTGTGTTTCTACGTCAAAATCATAGGAAAAAACCATTTTCAGTTGCGTTTAAACCAAAGGAAGTTGGGCTTGGATTTCCCTTCTCCCCAAAACTTACTTTTTTCTAGCCTGGCTGACATAGCACACCACAGCTATGAGTATGGCAAAGGCCACAACAGCTCCCACCGGTCCAACTTTTGCCCACATCAGACTGTCTGGAAGAAAGGAAGACACAGGTCAACAGACAGGTTTAAAAGTGAATGCAAAGAGAAACCATGTAAAGAGACAAGATGGTGATGAAACGTAAGCGGGTTGGTTCATACATGGCGCCAACACAATTTTGTTTGAATGGAGGCTGTTGAGTAAATCGTAAATCTCTGGATTTGCGGGGCATGTTAAATAGATCTCACTGTTGCCAAGAAACAAAGGATCGACGGAAACTGGACCTTCTGCACCAAAGAGAGGAGCTCCGGAAGTGGGAATTAGAAGAGGATCAAAGGGATTTAATACAGGTAGTCCTTGTTTAAATGGCTAGCTGTTGAACAACTGTTTAAAGCCGTGGCAGAAAAGGCTACTTATAGCAATAGCATTTAGATTTATATACCGCTTCACAGTGCTTTTACAGCCCTCTCTAAGCGGTTTACAGAGTCAGCCTCTTGCCCCCAAAAATCTGGGTCCTCATTTTACCCACCTCGGAAGGATAGAAGGCTGAGTCAACCTTGAGCTGGTCAGGATCGAACGCCTAGCAGTGGACAGAGTCAGACTGCAATAGCAATAGCACCTAAACTTATAAACTCTAAGCGGTTTACAGAGTCAGCCTCTTGCCCCCAACAATCTGGTCCTCATTTTACCCACCTCGGAAGGATGGAAGGCTGAGTCAACCTTGAGCTGGTCAGGATCGAACTCCTAGCAGTGGGCAGAGTCAGTCTGCAATAGCACCTAGACTTCTATACCACTTTACAATGCTTTCCAGCCCTCTCTAAGCGGTTTACAGAGTCAGCCTATTGCCCCCAACAATCTGGGTCCTCGTTTTACCAACCTTGGGAAGGAGGGAAGGCTGAGTCAACCTTGAGCCTGGTGAGATTTGAACTGCCAAATTGCAGGCAGCCGGCAGTCAGCAGAAGTAGCCTGCAGTACTTCACCCTAACCACTGCGCCACCATGGCTGATTATGATTCATCCTTGAAGCTGCACCCATCCCCTACACTCACATGATCACATTTTACTGCTTGGCGACAACTAGCTTTCATTTTTGTTTGGTTGCAGTGTCCTGCAGTCACATGACTGCGATCTACCGCTTTTTGTCGTTTTCCATACCTCCTTTTGTCCGACTATGCTAGTTTATACTGTCAAAAGGTTCTTTACTCTACAGTATAATTTAAAAAAAAAATATTTTGCTTGGAATTTAATGGTGGTAGTTTAGATTCTCCTCTTAGGAGTCAGAGACAACCAAGTTTGATCTCTCACTTATATGTGACAGCCCAGCTGTTATTTGAAAACTTCTAACACATAATCTTCTGGTTGCTTATTTTCCGGGATAAAACTGGCCAATGTGTTCAACTTCTTTTCAACGCTTTGCCTCCTAAAGCTATTAATTCATATTCCTGTCCAGAGTGAGACGGAGAGCTATGCAAAAGCTGTGGTACTTTGTAGTAGTCCTTGCCTTCCCACTTGGAAGAAGGCCATTGAATAGGAAAGAGCACCACCAAGGAGACCTAGCAAGATCAGGGGGGCTGCTAGCTGTGCAGTGGGCCGATAGTTGATGTGTCAACTGTGAAGGCTGGCCCTTGATGGCAGCCCTGGAGAGGCTGTCATAGAGGGTGTTGTGGCCTTTTCGGCCACCGGCCCCTCCAGCAGCCGAATGAGTTGAAGAGGCTGTGTGGCACTCAGGGTTAGCACCAAGGCAATCTGAGAGCTCCGAGGGGGAAGAAGGATTGGAGCTGTCAGAGATAGAGACAGAGACTACGCCTGAGATGTCCGTCAGCCTTCAGATGGAGAGTGAACAGCTCCCAGGTCTGGAGGTGGATGATGAGGAAGAGGAGGAACATCTGGGTCCAGTGCCTGACGCGCAGATGCACAGAAGGCAGAGGAGAGGAGAACAGTGGAAATCTATGGGCCGGTCCTTAGGATGGAAAAGCCACCACTGCTAGTGAAGCCCCATCCTAGCTCTGGGGATAACAGGCAGGGCGCGGAGATGAATACATGTGGCAGACAACTATCCATCTCCTTGCTGGATAGGCTTGTTAGCCTGTTGTGTGTGAGAGAAAGACCTTTTTGTCAGGCGCTCCTAATAAAGGAGCTAAATATTAGGCGCTCCTAATAAAGGGAACATTTAGTTAACTACAAGAGTGTTCGTTGTGTTTGGGAGCCGGGTCAGAACAGACCGCCTAGGGCCAAATAGATTAGAATCAGAGGGATCAGAGGTGGTGTTTGCCTGCAGGGACTCTCACTGGAGTGATGGAACTGGAGCTGCTGGTTCTTGGTGGCGTAGTGGTTCCTGGCAGAGCAGACTATATAGAGCTGAGAGTCAACCTCCCTCTGAACAGTCAGGATGCTGGTGACAATGTAGCCCGTTTTCTGGGAGTACACAAACTCCCGGTCGGTCTCGTTGACCGTCACATTGCGGGTGGGCAACTCAAAGGTGATCATAGCTTCTGGGTTAGCTTTGGCCGCACAGATGCATTTCACTGTATCCCGAGCGGCTGTGCACTTGGAGTCCGGAAGAATACGGGGAGCAACTGTGGAGAAAAATAAAGAGATTGAAGTGCAATCCAGGATGTACTAATAGCAATAGCACTTACGTACCACTTCCTAGTGCTTTACAGCAGTGGTGAAATTCAGATTTTTTTTACTATCAGTTCTGTGGGTGTGGCTAGGTGGGCGTGGCTTGGTGGACGTGGCAGGGGAAGGATACTGCGAAATCTCTATTCCCACCCCACTCCAGGGGGAAGGATACTGCAAAATCTCCATTCCCTCCCCACTCCAGGGGGAAAGATACTGCAAAATCCCCATTCCCACCCCACTCTAGGGCCAGCCAGAGGTGGCATTTGCCGGTTCTCCGAACTAATCAAAATTTCCTTCTGACAGGTTCTCCAGAACCTGCTGGATTTCACCCCTGCTTTACAGCTTTCTCTAAGCATTTTACCAATGTCAGCATATTGCTCCCCCCCCCCAACAATCTGGGTCCCCATGTTGCCAACTTCAGAAGGATGGAAGGCTGACTCATCCGGTCAGGTTTGAACTCCTGGCCGTGAGCAGAGTTAGCTTGCAATACTGCGTCCTAACCACTGCAACACCATGCCTCTAATAGCTTTCTTGAACTGTAGAAGTCCTCTCTATGGAAGCTCCTCCATTTATGCAAAGGCATATGACAGAGTAATGGGTTCATCCACATTCTTTTGAGATGTCTACTTCCAACAAATACATCCGGGAAAAGAGAATAAGTGGGTTGAGGCATAGCCCTTTCGTCTACAACAATATAGAGGAGGAATTCACTAGTTCCTCTTCTCCAGTTTCATCCAAATTTACTGCCAACAGTTCCCCAAAGCTTTTCTTTCCTGGAAATGCCAGAGTTCATAGCTGAGGCCTTCTGCATTCAAAGGGCATGATCCAACGCAGGAGGGGGGGGTGTTTGCTGCCAACATTACTGCCAGTTTGGTACACACATGTGCACAGTTGCCTATAAATAGGTCTGTGCATGAGCAGAACATTAAAAAATGAAAAAAATAATAATACCATGCTGCGCCGACCAGGGAACCGGTTCGGAGGCATGGCAGGCCTGGGTCGTTGCTGGTTCCCGCAACCCAGGCTGGCATACCAAACCGGTTTGGCCGAACCAGACCGAACCAGTAGGAACCCACCTCTGATCCAGTGGCCCATTCTACCCAATCCCAAAACGTGCTTGAGATCTTTAGAACCGAAAAGGGCTCTCGGGGCACAAAGGCAATGCTTACATTCAACGGTGAGGTTGAAAGCAGTGCTGCTCTGGCCAAACTGGTTCTCTGCTGTGCACCAGTATTCGCCGTCGTCTTCGTGTGACACGGATTCAAACTCCAGCTCCACCTGGCTTTGGTAGACCCCCATGGCTAATGGCTTCTTGTCCTTGTAGATGGTGATTGTTGGCTCAGGGCTGCTCTGCGAGCTGCAGAAGATAGAGACCGGCTCTCCCTCAAGGACCACCATGGATCCGTTGACTACGGGTTTCCAAGGAGCATCTGCACAGGGAGACAGAGTCAAAGAAGGACATGCATTTTTTTTAAAAAAAAAAACCAAAACATGGTGTCGCCGCAGCTAAGAGCAGATTCGTCATTCCAGAAGCATTCCAGTGACATTCTTTCAAAGATTTAGTAAGGTTGAAACTTGAAACAAGTTATTCTTCCTGCAAATGTAGCAACATTCTATATAGGTATGCTCACATTTATGGTCGAGAAACTCTGCTGCCATTACAAACAAACAAACCAGGGGTGGGTTTCAACCGGTCTGCGACGGTCCGCACGGACCGGTTGGTCAGTGAACCCGGAAGTAAGTAACTTCCAGGAACGCCGAAAGGCCCACCCACCCACCCTCGCTCCTTACCGGTCTTTAAAGGCTTCTGCGCTTCCACGCAGGCACATGGCACATACAGTGCCTGCGTGATTCTCCACGAGTAGCTGGAGCATCGCGCAGGCGCTAAGACGCATGCATGAACTGCGCGCGTGCACGAGGATGCCGCCGGCCCCGTTCCAACCGTACCGGTTGGAATGGGATTAGGAACCCACCACTGAAACACACACACACACACACTCACACTATGCTTTTGATAAGCTTAATGCATCTTTTTACTTTTAAAAAAGGACAATTTAAAAGGAGCTTTAAAAACAATCCAATTCTGTACACTCCAGGGTTGAGAAAACAACATTTCCCTTACATTTTTATTTTTACATTAGCTGATAACCCAACGTTGCCCGGATATTTACTTATAGGGGGGAAATGTCCGGACCAATTTCTAATGTTGGATTTTCCCCCTTACCAGAGAGAGCTCCCTTGTGGAGTACTGTGAAGCCGTTACCATGGCAACTCCACTGCGCAGTACAGTAGAAGCCATTTTAAGGCACAAAAGGCTGCATCTTAACAGAACACACACCCGGAGGGGGTGTCTTACCCCTCACAATATTTGTTTCCAG